TCTCTACATCCATTCCCTCCTCTTAAACTTGAACCGGTTCTCCAGGTGTCGACTGACAAACATATGCATACAGGCTACGTGCTTGGCTTGGCCCGCAGGGATATTGCTTGCACTGGCATACTCAATAAGTTCAGAGATTTGTGAAGATTTCTGTTGATTCGAGACTGATTCTTGTACAAAATAGTTATTCATGGCCAGTAATCTCCGCGAAAAGTTTTCCTCCAGTAGTTTCTCGACAGCTTCTAATTGAAAAATTGGCACATATGGGTTTCACGGTCGATGGTTAGGCCGGTATCAGGCTTTGAAGTCAGTCGCCCGATTCGTTAGCCATTCGAACAATTCAAGCGTCGATTTCAGCAATCACTTGTTAGCGCTTCCCCCTTTCGAGCGTCGCAGTCATCTGCGTTCACTGAGCTACGTGTTTATAACCTACCTATACATAGGTTACCTCGTTGGTGTTCGAACGCTGAAGATGTGACCGCTACTTCAACTGATTACTGTCAAGCTCGATGACATCTGATGTCAATATTTTTACCTCTTTTCCGATCAAAATGCTTTTTCGTCACAAAATTATTGTGCAAGTAGTAGGAAAAAGTGCAGCACAAGCATACGTTGCATTATTAGACTTGTAGAATAATTTAACTATGTCTGGTAGATATCATGTCATTCCTCGTCGCACTAAGGCAAGAAAGTATAGAGCTCCTTCATTGTCGGTCGTCCGATCGTAACGATTGCACGGCATTCGTATCAATCGTAGGACCTGTCGGAGGGAGACAGTCTACCATATGAAATCATCCGCAGCCCGACCTGTCCAGTTTGGAAGAAGTTTGGAAGAATTACGCGTGTAAACTGTTGTCGGCCTTGGTTGGATCCCATTTCCCTTTGTTGACAAAATTGTTCGGTGAAATTCTATATATTTTTTTGCGGTTTTAGTTGTGACTATTTCAGACGTTCATGTTCAACCTTGCTGCTCCATTTATTTCACAGTTCTACTATGAACCACTCCATGCAGTTCTGCCATACGTAGACGTTCTATTTGGCAATGAAGATGAAGCAGCAGCATTTGGAAAAGTGTGTTCGTTCCACTTTTTTTTCTTTCGAAGTTGTAAGTGTGGTTTTTAGGCGGCAGGATTCGATACCACTGATTTGAAGGAGATTGCTTTAAAGGCTGCCGCAATGGAAAAGGTGCGATCATGATTTTAACCATCTATTAGGAATGCTAAGCTCATTGCTGAGAAATTCTGAGTCGCATTGTGGATTGTATCATGGTACTTTATCGATACCTATTCATTGCACATTTTTCTGTTTAATGCTTTCTTCACGACGTTCTTTTTTAAATAGTTTTAAAAGCATTAAAGAAAACAGTGGTAGGTCAGGCTACACAGAAATAGCGATCTCGTTCTGTATATCAGTTCAATGACTTCGGAATTTTATTACATATGTCTTCAACTTTAATAAGCACTTGGTTTTAAAGAAGTCATCGAAACCTCGAACTGTGATCATCACCCAAGGTGCCGATCCCGTGATTGTGGCTATTGGTTCCGAATTGACTCTGTATCCTGTGGCTACCATTCCCAAGGAGAACATTGTTGATACTAACGGAGCCGGTGATGCATTTGTCGGAGGTAAACGAATTTAGCTTCTACTTTGCAAAATAATACTCCACTATATTGGGAAATTTTCCTCAGGTTTCCTCTCACAGTACATTCGGAAGAGAGGTATCGAGGAATCAGTGAAATGTGGCAATTACGCAGCTGGTGAGATTATTCAGAAACAGGGATGCACCGTACCGTCCACATGCAGGTATCACTAGTCGGGACCGCTCCTGTGGTAGGGGCGATTGTTCCTTCAATTTGAGTTCCGCAATTTTTATTTTGATTTTTTCCGGAGTTATCTCAAGAGAAAGTGTCTTATTTATTTTCACTATTCCTCGTTAACCTTCAATGCGTTAGTTTTAATCGTGTCATTCAGGGATGTCCTTGTTTGCATTCCTCTTTCTATTTGAGTTGTTGATAGTGATTTACATCTCCTTATTATCCATATCTCATTCACGTTTGTTTGCATGTGACAGTGATACGGCTTGTAAGCTGCCGAATAATTTGGCTTCAGATTTTGTTGTTTTGTGTACTTCTGAATGCTCAGTTATGAGTTTGCCCTGATAGCGTGATAATTGGTCAAAGTCTTTATTATAAGATGCTTTGATGGGAATTGATGTTGAAAATATTGTTAGCCTTATAAATTCACTCATTCAATGAATAAATGTTTCATTGGCGTTGTTTTCATTTCAGTGGATTTGCTGTTGAGGCAGTTAGGATATTCTGCTGTATACACTTTCTAAGGTTTTTGATATCTGCCATCCACGTGAATATTTCTACTTTTGAGGTTTGAATAGGTCTTTGTCGTGTTCATGTGAGTACATGCAAGGTGATAATTAATTTGATTGTTAGTTAGAATCTTCCACTCTTCTTCAGTCCTTCGTTGAAAATGATATACGGTTAAGGAAGCACATCCCCGGTTAGTCATCACACGACTAGGTTTTCTTCTAGAGAACCGTTGAGAAGTGATATGCGTATTGGTTATGTTGGCTTGTGCACATGTCAGTGGAGAAAGTGATTCAAATACGTGACAAATAGGGAGATGTGTTGATTGATTTGGTTGAAGACCTCCAAAATCCATTGGTCATAGTTTCGCCATGGCTTTCAGAAAGAATGCATACCCTATAAAAGGAAGTTGTCCTGATTACAACCAGACTGAAAGGTGGCGAATAATTAAGTGCATCATAAAAAAAACTCAAACTTGACATTTCGCCCACAATTATGCGGGAATTATTCATTGGTGTAAAACAATTGACCGCAGCACAAATGATTCCCGAATAGGTTGGTGGTGTTTGATGTTAACAGTTCGTTTCATCATCACATTAAGAAGGTAGTTAGCGCATAAATTATCCAAGATTTTGTTCGATTTTTTTGATAATTTTTAATGCGTCAATTTTCCCTTTGCTCTTGCACAAGTTCACAAGTTTGCTCAACCATTACTATTGGATTCATTTCTGCTTTCATGCTAGGGTTCGCTTAATGTTCCTGAGTGGAAGCATAGAGGAGGATTTACTCAAAATTGCATGTTTCACGTTGTCATTTCATAATTAAAGAGTTCATACAGCAGCATCACTTCCCCGGAGTGATCATTTTGTACTCCTACTGACTAGTATAGGGCCATTCGTTGCGGGACCCACTGCCTTAACCCGCGGGGATCCCATGTGATCGCGGTTGAATTCGAACATTCCAGCTTCTCACGCATGTCAAGTGTCTGCCCTCACCCCCCCCCCTAGACTGGCGACACTGCCCCTAGTTCGACTAAGCCACAGGGGACTAGGGAGAGGTGTATAAGCAATTCTAACTTCCCCTGAAAGTCTTGCTCCTCTCGGGCTAGGTCCGCACAACGATACACCACCCGACGAGATCAGCGCCCACCCCAATAAGAGTACAAGTTTGACAACACAAGTGCAATGATCTCTGCTACGGCACAATGCTATCGAGAACATGGACTATGCAGTATGCAGGATGATCTTCTGTTCCTCTTTTCAACTTCCTCCAGAACCTTCCTCATTCGCTGCGGAAGTTCAGCGTGTTGTTCGCGGACGGCGGTGGGGCACAGAATTCGAAGACGTTGGCGTGAGTTGCGGTGTGTGTGCATTTTAATTGCACAACGCATTTATTTGACGCCCAGGGGTATGGTAGAGGTGTGCTGACCTACTGAGCCAATTTTGGCATGGGAAACGTGAGTCCTTGTTTTGTCTCCCTAGGCCGGAGCCCGATCCTGGTAGATAAAGTTGCGGTGATTTTGCTCTTCGAATTGACTTTACCCAGTAGAACGATAAAAATAAATTAGTTGCCTCCGACGCACTGATATTCCCCCAAATCATCAAAGTTTCAGGGAACGATCTTCTTGTGGTTTTTCTTGTCCGTTTGCGCTCTTTTACAAACCTAATTCAAAAGCAGCAGTCCCAGGTATCTGTACATTTGCTACTAATGGGGTAAAGACACGTGAGCCCTAGTCAAGGACAAACAGAGTGTCGCACGAGAACTCACCTCAGGGCACTGTTCACACCTTGCGCCATAGCCGAAAAACGCTCGAAACGAACGAATCTGCGGATCTGCGAAAAGATTCAAATGCGTATTGATCCACAAAAATGAGAATCGCGCATTCGATCTGCGAATCCTTTTAGGCCGATGTCATAGTTTGCGAATCGAGCGATTCGCTAGCGAATCGCTGGATCCGAGCGTTGCGCCAGCGAATCGAACGTTGCACCAGCGAATCGAACGATGTACCAGCGAGTCGAACTAGGTACCAGCGACTCAATAGTGGCGGGACCCAACGTTCAAAGGAAGCCCGCCACTTTCAAACAGTGTCCACTGCCAAGTCCCGCCACTTTCAAACAGCGTCCACTGTCACGTGACACTGTTTGAAAGTGGCGGGCTTCCTTTGAACGTTGGGTCCCGCTGGTACTATTGAGTCGCTGGTACAAGTTCGACTCGCTGGTGCAACGTTCGATTCGCTGGCGCAACGCTCGGATCCAGCGATTCGCTAGCGAATTCGCAAACTATGACATCGGCCTGAGAGAGGTGTATACCTATCGATCAGGTGAAGTGGAGGCGGCGCATCGTTTCGCGCTTTCGATACCTCGACGCGAAACGCTGAGAGGGCGGAGTTGACTACGTCGATACGCATCTAAACCTTTTCGCATCCGCGTTCGCGCGTGCGGAAATTCTCATGGTCACGACGCATATAATTTTTTTCCGCAAATTCGAATATTCGGATGATTCGAAAACTGTGAACAATGTCTTAGGTTGGCATCAGAGTCCGCGATCCTTCGCGGTTTCGCTGATTTTCGCGATTTGCGCGATTTTCGCGAAACCTGCGACGGATCGCAAAAATTGCAAGTGCCCCATTTGAACATTTGAAACACTGAATATGAAACAAGTGGAATCATGAGCAGTCGTCATTCAGCCATCACTATCAAGCAGAAGTGGCGGCAGGATTGGAGAACACTTGCAGTATTGATCGGGCACTTGTGATTTCCGTGCCCCGTCGCGTGAATCGCGCAAATCGCGAAAATCAGCGAAACTGCGACGGGATTGCGGACTCTGACTTCAGCCTTAGAAAGACGCTAGAAGTGACCTGGATATGTGGCAACGCCATTCCATCTATTCCATTCCTTCGCCCACTCGCTAGTGAGAGGGATCGTGTGATTGGCTGCGTTGCGCAGTTGCGTGGTAAAACTCCTCCGCAAGTCATCAAAGGAATGGCGCGCTAGCTCAACTTTGCTTGATCTTTTACTTGCGCGCTTGAATCATTTTGATTATCCGTCATTCTTCTCTGCCATTTTTGCATATTTCAGGGCGTCATCTTGCTAGTGCGAGCAATGCCGGCGGAGCAACCTAGTTCCGACAGCTCGTACGGCCCCACCCCTTTAATTCCAAGGAGAAGAGGGGAGCCCCTGTCTAGAGCTTCAGCGACGGTTTTCTCTCTTGTTTTTTTTTTGATTTACAGTCAACTCTCCATCCGCAACTTCATTATCAAACGATTTTAACTCCGCAAATTTGATCTGGAATTGTATTTTAAAACGTATCGCCTACATTACCATTGCTTTTCAGTGTTCTTGATGGTTCTCAGAGAAATTTTGAAAAAATAACTTGTTGAGTTTTTCGTACCGCTTTTTGCCTAGATGCGCAGTAGCGTCGCAGCTGAGGCGGCCCCCAGACAATACCTAACCATTAGACCGACAGACGCCATAGCGGTCCGGACTGACCCAAGCGCTTGGAATGGCGATCGCGATCAAGCTCATCGATTGTCCGGTCGCTTGACCAATCGCTCTCCCGGTCACGCAGCGATTGGCAAGGCGATTGTCGCACCTCGCAGTGTCAATCGTGCACCCGGCGACGCGATTGGCCCCGCCCCCAGCCAATACAGTCGGCAGCGGTATCGGTCGACCGGAGCCATTGCCCGTCGCTTGGCAAGCGACGGACAAGCGATGCATCGCTTGGTCCGTCCCAGACAATACCTAACCATTTGGGCGCGGCCGCGGCGAACGCGGCCGAGTTGATAGGTGCCCGCGAACTCAGCACAGCACAGTTCGCGGGCACCTCGAGTGCGTTTTCAACGGTTCGCGGGCACAATCGACTCGGCCGCGTTCGCCGCGGCCGCGCCCAAATGGTTAGGTATTGTCTGGGAGCCCAGCTGAGGCATTTTTTCTTCAAAACTTGGAAAATTATTTTTCTCTAGCAATCAGTGATTAGCAAAGACTGTATATTTTGAAGTAAAAAAAAACGCATAAATGCTTCATACAGCGTGCGAAACGTCTGATGTCGCACTCATGTAATTTTTGCCTCCCTTCACATGCTGCACCCTTCATCTTGGCTACTGTAACACATTTCGCGACAAATTTCACTTCTTCATCAATCACAAAGGGCGTTTTCATCGTGCTAAGATTTGAGTGACTGCAATTTTGCCTTGCTAAGTGAGAGCCGTCTTGGCTGGCATGTATAAGCACTTTTGAAAACATCAAAGTTGCAAAAAAAGGTAATGGAAAAGTGAGGAAGCGGGAATCAATAACACCTCGCAGTTTGCGGCAAGTATTGCTCGTGGGGGTTGGTCTTGCCGCACCTGCGTTTTCTGAACGCGCAACTTATGAAAAAAGCTTGTGAGGATAAGGAACATTACCAAGCTTCCACAGGTGGCGCATCCGCAGCGCGTTTGACATCACTTTTGCTCCTTCAGGGTACTCCGTAGTATGGTCGATAGTACGTCGTCTGGGACATAATCTAGCTTTTTCAGAACACGCCGTTAATTGTTCAATATGGTTGTGATGTATAAAATGGATATAAGTTGTCGCGAAGAATTTCCATGAGTAGAACAAAAACAGGAGTGCGGTTCGGAGCAGTACCACGGCGGTCCACGGCTGCAAGTTACCTCATGACTACGCTATTTGTCCGAGTGTAAGAAGAAAGAAAACTTCTTGAGAGCTTGTGTAGCAAGAAAAAAAATTGGGCAGGGGTTTCATAAAGGAGGAGATCAGAGTAATGATAACTGGTGCGAGACCGAGTTTGGCGGATCCAATCCTGTTGTAATTGCCTCTGCGATGTCCGAAGGGTCGCAATAGGAAAAGGAATAAGGCCGCGAAGGTACAGGAGAGATCATTTTTACGACGGGAAGGTGTTGCACCGACGGGGACAAGGGTGAAACTAGAAGATCTGAGTGCTCCGCTTAAGATCGCTGGATCCTCGTGCGATGCACATGATAGCGTACATTCTGGAATGATTATAACTTTCAGATGAATGTCGACGACAATGGTAACTCTTATGCAGAGATGCAGGCCGTCCCTTTCACTCACTCTGAGTCTAGTGCACCATCCGAGCATGACATTGTGGGGGATGAGTACGGGCAGGTGAGGAGAGTGTTGCCATTATTTGACTTCGAGCAAACTCGTCGTCTATGATTTCTAAATTCTTCTTTTCGTTGTGATTTTTAGAAGTCTCCGTCACAGTGATCATAATTAGCTTAATTTTTCTGTTCCTCATTAGAAACGAGTCTATTTAGGGTTTGAGGTAAGCTAAGTTACAGTTTTCTGAATGCTGTGCGGAACTTTCCAGTAAATACTTCGACAAGAAAGTGAAATTTAGGTGGCTTATATGGTTTGCAGAATGGGACCAAATTAGCAGTCGCCATAGGCGACTAGGCAGTCGTGCTGATAATGACAGTTGCTGCTCCTTTTTATATGAAAGGCAGTCGCATTGTTTACTCCAAGACATCGATTGATCGTATGATAAACCCAGCAGAAGAAAGGGCGGGCAAGTGAAAGAACCGAAATGTTGCTAGAACAAGGACATGCGCTCATTCACAGCAGCTTTTCGTCTCAAGCTGTTATAGTAACGAGATGTGTGTTGGCACAGAGAATGAGATTTTTCAATTTAAAGTTTAGTGATTGGTTTTATATAATCCAGCTTTCGTTTAGAAAAACACCAATCGCATATGAAGCTTTGATGTTATAATTCCCGGGGTTCCTATTTGATGGCTCGAGATTTTGCTATGGCACTACCGATACTAAGGAAACAATTACTAATTCTTTCAGTGAGCTAGCTTCTGTAATTCTCTAGTTTTGGAACCCTTCTTCATTTTTGAGAGTATTCACTTCTGCGCTTCGTTCTTCCACAGGCTTTCACAATACTATAGATGCTGCGTTGTTTTAATTGTGTTGCCATTTATTTTGCTTTAAAATTCTGAACTCCTTGAAATGGCTTTCATATCAAGGTATGTCAGCGACCATTGATAGCATTCAGCAAGTGCTATTGTGTCCTCGTACATTGTCATTTTCAGAAAAGGACATACTGGAAGGTGCAATTTTAGAAAGCTTCTGCGGTCAAGCAAGCGGGATTTTGAGTAGCATCCCGCTTGCTTAACTGCAAAAGCTTTCTAAAATTGAAACAGCTGGCAGTGTCGTTATTGCGTTAATACCGTTTGCTGCAAAATGATGTTGCTCCAACTTACGAGTATTTCACTTTCACAACCAGTGTTCTCTCGCATCTTATTCCATTGATACGGCTCCTAACTCTATTCTCTCATATTTCTTGGTTATGGAGGAGAATAAATAAATATTGTCAGGTACCTCGATAACAGTTCCTGAAACTGCTTGTGGGGTGGTTGCCGTACTGGCGCCTGTCTTATGTTCATTTCCTTCAAATGGCGTCTACCTTAAAATGTGTGTAATACATATTAGCGGTCAAGTCTTTCAATTGCTTTCTAGATGGGGTTCAACGTGAAGTCCTTTTGCATGCAGAGGGTGCAATTATGGGCCCGACACCTGCTAGTAGAAGTGAATTACTGCCCAAAGCTACCTCGAGGTAAGCAAACCAGCCCTTTTGGCGTTTCTGCTGGGGCCGTATGCTGAATGTTGGGGAGGGGATGGGGTCCCCGAGGTCGACGGACTTCAACTCGGTCGGTACGGTAGGAGAGTGATGACGAAGTGGTGCAGCTGGTCCAGCAGCTCCGCCAAAAGGGCTGGTTTGCTTACCCCAGGACTAAGCCTTGGAGAGAGGACGACCTGTCGCAGGTCCGTCCTCTCTTTAAGGCTTAGTCCTGAGGTAAGCATCAAATTGAGGCGGTTTTAAGGACCGAGTTGAAGTAGTCCGTCGACCGTCGGGGACCCCATCCCCTCCCCAACATTCAGCATACGGCCCCAGCAGAAACGCCAAAAGGGCTGGTTTGCTTACTTCGGCTGCCTCCACTTCTTCTGTATTGCGGTCAAAATCTCGAGTGCCTCAAGCAGCACAAACCATTTGATGCCATATCCAGGCTAACCCTAAATGGTGTTATCGGAACTTCCCGTACACAACTGAAAGGCAATTGGCAACCTGCTTATTCATTTTCACCCAATTCCATCTAGCTGTTAATAATTTATGCTATTTTATCTACCCCATTTCTAAGTTTTGCACGTGTATAAAAAAGTAGTTAGATTTTTGTAGTTTTGAAACCAGTAGGCTTGCTCGCCTCGAAGACCTATAAAAACAGTTTGGGCATACTCTTAGATGGGTGGGAAGTTTGGGCGTGCGCGTTCGAGGGAAGGGCTCGGTTGAAAGTCGATACGGTAGTGAGTGGAGCTCTATACCGATGTGCGAACTCATTTTAAAATCCCTGCAAAGGTGTCTAAAGCGGATTTCGTTCTGGATTGAAGGGGCACCTGTGTTTTGCCTTCTCACTTCGGGCATGCAGAACCTGGCCGAAGGCACTTATTGCAATAGGCGGGCTTGGCCAGATGGGCGGGGCTCGCCAAGATCCCCGCTAAAATTTCAGGTTTTCGCACAGAAAGCTCGATTGAGTAGTGTAATCACGTTATTCGGTAATGCGCTAAAAGTTGAAATCCATAGGCACATGCTCGCGATTGATATTTATTAAAAAAATATTGGTTTTCATGGACGCGCAGAGCTTTGAATGAGGTAGCCGATATACAGTTTTAACGAGTCTGATCGCTCGGTGCACTCGGACTTTTTTTTATTGTGATTCGCAGTGCCTGGCTCAAGCCGCTAATTCCTATCATCTTTGCATTATGTGCACGTATGCACGTTTATTATATCAGCCCCACCTTTTTGAACTCGTACCTTTTATCGCGTATGCATATATTTATATCGGGCCATTTTCACTGGTTCCTGAAGCGATGGACTCTTCTGGGAGATTCGGAAGTATATCTCCCAATGCCGGTCCATGTATTGTTCCCTCCTTTCACTACTTCTTTGCCATCGTTTTTCACTTATTCAGTGTGAGCTACAGAGTTGCATATCGGCATAGGAGAATGATGGCATAAATGTCTGATGGGGAGTAATGGCGAGAAGATGGTGAAACGTAAGAACAGCACATGTGCTACGGAAAGAATCATGTGCCACAAAAACGTAGAAGGATCCACACATGGGGGTCTACGCAGTGTTTAGTGCGCGATGAAAGAGCGAATCCAAGGTGGGGGATGATATATTATTGTAAAGGGAGATGCTTCATAAAGTGCAAAGGTAGTAGGAACGCCCAGCATTTCGAATTATGAAATGGAAAGAGCGGGGCCGGACAATCCGATTCTTCATTAATAAGTACCACTATGCCTTCCTGATTAGTATATCACCGAAATAATTTGAAATCTGCACAAACGATTCCTTTATGTCTCAGCATAGCACTGAGCTGCATTGTCTGCCATTGCCATCGCTTTTGTCCCACGCGGCCAAAAATGCCAGAAAATGCTATGTCTCAACGTGTTAACGTACATATAAGAGATTAGAACTCTGCGCGGGCAGGACGACCGTGCAGTCGATGTTACCAAACGCGCTTTCAAGGTACGATGCTTGTAGTTATACACGCAATTTCAGAAGGAAATACTTGCCTCACCGTACAACTTAATCCAGCTTTGCGCAGGCAGGGCTAACATGCGAGTGTTATCCAACCTGCTGCGGAGAGAAAGAAATCGAAGTCACTCGGTACTTATGTTTAGAAGAAAATCCGAAGCTTTGAAGTTCGTCGTTCGAAGATTAGAAATACTACCGTTATCGCTAAGATATCACGTTTAGAGGAGATAGCGATTCTACGATAACGTCCAAGAAGGAACTTACTTAGTGGAATGAAAGGCGAGGCCACTAAGGGTGCATACCTACACTCAGTTAGCAACGAAGGGTATGCCCCGCCGATCTAGCATGGCCATCTCGCGAACCAGATGGTGCGCCCTTGGGATACGCCCCTCTCTCTCGTGTGTCTCGTGTCTGATTCCCTAGCGGTACAACAGAGAGAGCGTTAGCGTTGAAGAAGGAGCAGCGATGAGAGTCGCATCAATGCGAAATCAACGTGCAAGGAAGAGGTCCCATTTCTGTGGTACTCTGTCCTGACCACCTCTACCTTATTCCAGTGATCTGCCTTTTCATCGTTAAATTCGCCTTTTAGTGCGATTTTGTGATGACTGTTGGACTTCTCGGGCCCTCAATTGAACATTATTCCTACAATCGAAGGTCAGACTCTCTTTGAAAGCTTTGAACGAAGGGAATGATTACTTACGCGCCCCACGTGTGTGGAAGACCCGCTGAGGTACTCTGGTGGGCGTCGGGAACGAATGGAGTCGGTGTTACCGCCCAAGCTAAGAACTCAGCGGGATCAAGACGATAGATCCAGTTTTCACTCAACAAAGTTACATACGTGTGACTTCTATATTTCCTATAATGCGTGAACCTAGCAAAAGCACACTAACTTGGAATGCTGTCGTAGTCCAGTCCTCGTAGGGTATCGCTGTGAGGAACTTCACAGCTTAACGTGCAAGCGGAGTGATCTTTTTCTCAACGATAGGGCTTCCGCTTGTTGAAGTGGTAGAATGTTCATGCAAAAATGTCCTTTATACTATTTGTGCCTTTCAACCTCGAGAGGTTTTGCGCCGAACATTCAGTCTTAGCAAGTACAGCTGCTATTCCATGTCAGCATTGTACATATCTTGGGGTCGTAGAATTCACTCGGTAGACAATTAAAGAATGTGCAGAAAGTTCCAATGTTGCAGCATTATTTCGTTCAGAAAAATGTGAAATCAAGGAATTTTTCAGTTTTCATGGAGAGAACTTGTGCAGTGAGTGTGTCTGACATTGCGCGTTTAGATTCCGGTTATCATGAGCGATGGAGAAGGCAAGGAATTTATGGTACATTTTGCTGACGATCGTGATATGGAGAATATCGAAGAGGAACTCGAACTCGGAGTCGGAAACGTGAGGGATTCTATACACATGTTTTGACTTGTGCTTCTCTTTTTTTCTCTTTTTCATCTGCTTGGGAGATTATTTCCGGAACTGGACAACCATAGTTTTAATCTGCCTCTCGGACAGATTGATTCCTTTGACTTTTGCGTTCTTCATGTTTTCACTCATCACTCTCAGGCTCAGCTTACTTCAACTGATCAATAGAGTAACCTCCTTTCATTTGGATCAATTAATTTCATCCCTTAGATATCTGTAATTGGTGTTTGTTCAGAAGAATAAAAACGCTGACTTGTACAAAACATGAGATAAACTTCTAAAGATTGTCATCTGGCAGGGATAATATCTGTAGGGTTTGTTTGATGAAAGTAGGGTTCCTATTTGGCCGCACTCTATAGGAGTTGCTAACAAGTGCTTGAACAAGAGTACAACGGGAGTTGGTAGAGGAGATCAGTGGTGATAGCCTTCGGCGCCCTTAAAGCGAGATGGTAATAACATCGGTGCAAATAAGGGCTCTAAACTAACATTATATAGACAGTACTGGAGAGTAGTAAAGGCCGCTTGCAAATTAAATACGCTCGTCTACATCATTTTCTAAAGGGCGCATGCAAACTGCGCACAGCGTCGCCGACTCGAACTTCTTATCACTTGCAAAAAGCTCGAAACGAGCACATTTGGCATCTGTGTTCAAGCTTATCTAAGCATTTTATGGGCCACGGCGGTTATACTTAGGTTGCTGCGTGTACAGAAACAAGACAAACAATTTACGAAGAAGCCGCGTATGCGCTAGAAAAAGGGATGACAAGGAGCTATCAATCCAATCATTGACCTTGCCCGACCTTGATTCATTGACTGCCGGAATCCTCCCATCCTAAAAGCATCTCCGTACATATACATATACCGTGCTGTGAAATGCGTACATTGAAAGTAAAGCGGAGATTACGTGTTCGTTTTATGTGCACTCACTGGCCAATTGCTTTGTGATCGCTTGAGACAGTTTAGTTATCACGAGGAAAAAAGTAAGGTGTTAGCAATTTCAGGAGGGTCTCAAGATTGGTTATCCTCATGACGACCGGAGCACGGAAACACCTGAGGGACGCTCGTGCAATCCGATACCAGATCAAGAAAGATTTCTTCCCATAGGTTGGCTTCATTCCTTGATTCCTTCATCTATAAGCAGTGACAGAGCCTTTAGTGGGCTAATGTGGTCTCGCTCAATATGCAATATGATCTCCTTCTTTGATGTTTCTTACCGGCTCTATTTTCAAATTTACGTCTTGTGTCGCTACACAAAAATTTTCAGTTTAATATCATTATTTTCCTTTCTAGAAGAAATCACATTGATTTGCCATATTTTGTAAACCATTGCAACCTTACGTTTAGCCAATGTTGCACGTGTCATGAAGCGAATGATACCGAGTAGTGGGAAGATTGCGAAGGACGCTAAAGAGTGTGTTCAAGAATGTGTTTCCGAATTTATATCATTCATAACTAGCGAAGCAAACGATAAGTGCATGAGTGTAAGTTGAAATTTCCACTGATACTTTTGTTATATGAAGGATGTATTGTGATTCAAGGAAAAAAGAAAGACAATAAGTGCGGACGACCTTTTGGAAGCGATAAACAATATGGGATTCGATAACTACGTGGCTCCTCTTCAGTTATTTTTGGAGAGGTGCGATCTAGTGGATGTGATCTCGAAATAAATCGTGCAGAACTTTTTTAGGTATCGAGCAGCTCATAAATTGAGTCCTGGCTTCAGCAATTCAAATACTTTCTCAAGAACCTTCAGTGCGGCTTCTAATCCCAGCCCGACGGGGATTCACAATGGCACGTGGGACTAGGGTTTTTATGTTTGGAATATTTGTTACTGACATTGTCGAATACTGGATAGAATTTGCAGGAACCTCTTCGAGTGCGGCACTCAGTCGAGAATATTCATCTCGAGCTATGATGACGTCATCGCAGCCGACTTCCACGTCCACAGTAGCTACACACTCATACCAGGTGAGCAAAATATGTACGATGATGTATGTATAGAATTTGAAAGATATCAATATTGTTGACCTATCTCAATTTGTTTGGGATTAATTCGCAGAGGAAAGATTTGTAACAAATCCTGTCGGACATTCATTAACCAAAGTACCCGTGTAACGCCGCATAACGGGCTCTCATGTTTGTCGGTTGCCTAGCCGTGGGCAATGTCAGACTTTGCGATTTGAGCGACTGGCACCAATTTATGAGCTGGCTCTTCGAAGGTGTGTCCTTCAACGTTGACCCTAACAGCAGCCTAACTCTAGGTCAGCGTTAGGGTAGGATTGAGACAGGCCGGGTTGGGATTGGGTAAGGGTTAGGTTGAGATTGACATCAGGTTATAATTAGGGGAGAGTAAGAGTTGGCGTAGGCTTCGAAGAGCCAGCTTATTTCGGTCAAGGGCGTTTCTCTGCGATTCCAGCGATTTTCACGATTCTAGCAACTCCAGTGATCGCGCTAGTCGCAGAAATCGTTGTTCAGATTGGAGCCAATCGACACAAATCTTAAATTATGACACCGGCCAATTGCGCTACCATCTTGTAGAACTGAAGTTAATTAATTCAGGCGACGACATCATCTCATGGATCACCTGACCTCGCACCGGTAAGCTTCTGAAACAGCTTATATGCGCTATGTAATCACAAGCTGGTTCATGCTGGGTAGGAGGCGGAAGCCTCGCACTAACCCAGCGCCCTGCACCTATGGGCAGGAATGCTGCCTCTGCCTCATAGCTAGCAAGCATGAGCGCTGCCTTCAATAATCTTGCTTATCTTCCAATGTTCAGAGTACGTCGTCTTCTAACGGAGCTCCAGTTGTACTTGCCAGTGGACTTGCTGGAATGTCTGTAACTGCATTACAGCAACAACCTATGCAAATTTATATCGATCCAGCAAGCAAACAGCATTACATGGCAATCGAAAGTTCGTTAGCGTTAAATCAAATCATTATCAATCAAATTAAATCACTATACTACATATACGTACTGTATGTGCTGTGTGCGGATGAGGTTTCGATTAAGTTCTCTATAATTTATAGCTGAACAAGGAATGCAGCTATACCCAATACAAATACAAACTGATGGCCCTGTCGCGTATTCTTTTGCCCCGGAAGTGTCCACAGCAGTGTCGTCCAATGCTGGCTCTGGCAATCAGGTGCCTGAAGTAATATTTTATAAATCGATTCATTTGGTTCAGTGGTGTGTTTCGTCTTCCTCACTGACTACCTTTTCAGACATTCATAATGATGGCTGCGGCAGACGTGGATGACCCACATGCTAACACATTGGCCGCTCAATCAACTTCACGTGGGCAGTCGACGGCAACGAATAGCTCACCGTCTTGTGCTGATCAAGCATTAAGAACTCATAGCCATAGCGACTTTAACCGCCATCAACCTCGAACTACACCTACAACAGCCAATTTCGTCAGCCATGCTGCGCACAGTGAAACGGTAAGTGGTCTTCTTCCATGACTTGATTTTTCTTGTTTTGTTACTGCAGATTGCAATGCGCAGCTGTGTCAGTTCTTTTACACGTTGACGACATGGCGCGTTTTGGGTTTTTGCACCGCGTGGGACAAGGGCGCTTTTGCGAGCGCGGCCGTCACACCTCACACCCGTAAATTTCGAACGATAACCTTGGGAACTTCAAAGAGGAAGCCGTTTCTGCAAGATTCGATGCGTGTAAAGTAATCATTTCATTTCATTTCATTTGATACATGCAGGACGCATGTGCAAAGATTAGGAGTTATTAAAACAAAACCAAAAGACAAAACAAGGCAAAGCAAAACAGCAAAGTAAAGCAGGACATAACGAAGTGTAAAACAGAACAATGAATCATTTATTAGGACGGTGGAGATAATGGAAGACCGCCTTTCTGAAACTAGAGAATAAGGGCGTTATTTGCACAACCTTGCTCATTTTTGAGAATTCCATGCCTGCACGAACTGTGAAGAACCTGCGCCCAACTGTTGAACGTGGTTGTCGGAAGGAAAGCTTAAATTTTTCCCCCCTTGTGACTGAAGGCACTAGTTTATAGAAGGCGCTACCATCGATATCAATGCGCTTATGAAGAATATTGTATACGTTCCTCCTAGCCTTGAAAATAGCGGGTCCAAATTGAGCAATTTATTTCTAACTAGTCCAGGAGGTATGCTGGCATAATTGAAACCTAATGTTCTAACAAATAATTTTCTGAACCATTCTGTACCTTTTCTAGGTTGCCCAAAAAGGTTTTAGTATGTGGGAAGTAAATGCACGTGCCGTACTCAAGTACTGAAGCGCACAAATATTTTATAAGCTTTGACAAGCATGGTCGGATCTTTAGATTTGAATGTCTTAAACAGCAAAAACACTCTTTGGTTGGCTTTCGCTATAATATTTTTTAGATGATCCTCAAAACGCAGTTTAGTATCAACAAGTCCTTAACCGTATCAGTTGCGCCGAGAACGGAACCGTCAATATAGTATTGCATTTTGGGATTGTTTTGACCGAGATGGAGAACTTTGGTTTTATGCACAGTAAAGGAAGATGATTGGTTTTCGACCAACGCGAGATTTCGTCAATGGCTTGCTGAAGCGGATTCGGCAAACATTTTCACTTTAACATCAAAACCTTCAATCAGATCAGGCAGGTCGAGCGTGAAAATATCAAATAAAATGGGAGACAGGACACTCCCTTGTGGGACACCACTGGGAGCGCTCTTGAGAAAGTACGCTGTTTCGGAAAAGCCTCGATCCATTTGATTATTCTGCTATGAATGCCCACTAAAGCAAGTTTGTCTAATAGAACGGTGTGAATTACTCTGTCGAAAGCTTTTTCAAAATCAAAATATATGACATCCAAACTTTCTTAACATCCAATTCTGAGGACCAGTCATTGAGGGACTCCAACATAGCTGTGATAGTAGACCTTCTTTCTCTGAATCCATGCTGATGAATCGAAAGAATATGATTGTGTTCTAAGTAATCGAAGATGTAGTAGCGAAATCCCGATCAAAAAAAAAACGTGAAATGGTGAAGAAAATTGGAATTTTAAGTCCTTTTCTCTGTAGTGGATGCCAAAACTGTTTTCGATGTGGATATGTCAAATGAGACATATCTTTCTATCCCCATAGCTTACAGCTTGTCAGCATTCACACGCGTGTTGAGCCGGTTAGCCGATATCGGCAATGACCGCTAAGCTGAAGCGTTAGCAATGATTTGACAAGTTATGGTAAGTATACCATGAAAAGCTGAGTTGGAATGAAATGGTGCCCCGGTAGCGTAACTGGTAGCGCACTTGCCCGGAAAGCGAGAGGTGCGGGTTCTAGTCCCGCCTGGGGCGAAAGTTTTGTTCACAACCCAGCATTCTTGTGAAACATTCGCAAGGCGGCCAAAAACAGCAGTTATTAAAAAAACAGGTCAAAAACTATTGAAAACTTTGTTGCATCTGAGTATTGCGCATTTACAGTGCAAAATCCATGGATTTGGTGTGAGGCGGCGGCGCTCGCAAAATCGCTCTTGTCCCACGCGGTAAAAAAGCAAAAACGTGCAATATCGTCAATTTTGTAAAAGACGATGAATGTGACGCAGTCTGCCAATAGTGTTATTTTCATTCGCGTCTCGTGTGTTTGGCCTTTCATAATATCAACGTACTCAGGCTCGGTCCGCCTCTCAAAAGCGTCACGGGCCTGCTGGCGGCAAAGGTAATGGAGGAAAAGCAATAGCACCGTCGAAGCGTGTTCGTCATACCTGACTCACTCATCCGGTCGGTGTCTAAAGTAGACATGCGTTCCCCATTATGTGTCACAATCAATTCTCATCAGGATTCTTGAAGGCTGACCATTTTGCTGGAGCTCGACGGCTCTTTCCAGAAGAGGCAGATGATCATTCTTTCTATAGTCTCAGCCTTGTTTTCACTTATGTCAGATGTACGAAGTTTCTTGATGGAATTATATCCTAAATGCTCAGATCTCAAATTTAGCTTTTCCTCAACAAGGACAGCTACTCTGTTGATTTCCATATATGCAAGCATGCCACATTGCTCTGTTTCACTGCTCTTTTATTTATTCGTTAAAATTTCTTCAATTTACTTCCAGTACTTTTTTTTCATTAATTTTTTGATTTGATGTTTTCATGAGTTTCTTATTGGTTTCTCTTTCCTCATTGTTGCCTAATTTCATGTGCTTCTTATCATAAGTGTGTCCACATGCAGTGTGTTCATTGTGTCTCAACAGAATAAGATCTCTCAATTTTTCTTCGATTTCCCAGACAGAAGTGAATAATTTTGTCCCAATTTTCTTCAGCCATACTTTATGAAGTTATAAATTCGCGTAACTCCAAAGTAAAGAAGCCGCCGTCCTAAAGTTGCCTATTTTCGTTTTGTAGTGAGGCGTTCAAAGGTATAGGTTCACTTGGTTTTCCACCCTTCCGTTTTTACAAATAAGCTGCGAGGATGACTCGTCATTGCTTTCTCTTCCTCGTAGGTATAGCAGTACCGTACCAGGCGGAAAGCAGTTGATGGAAAAGCAATTGCCATCGATCAATCCGTTTTTGGGATGAGCACGCATTCTTCTTCCATATGTACATTTGTAGTGACGTTTGAATATGATTTGACCTATACAATGATGATTTGACCTATACAATGACTTGCGGAGACCACTCGATGTGAAGTCAGTGTTTTTAATCCTCTCAGACAAGTCTGGTACCAAGTAACTGTCGCCCCCCTTACCACCACACCGCTTCCGCCCCTCGAAAGCAGTTATCGGAAGGAAAAGTTAAATCACTACTTCAAAGGGTATGGCTCAGAAATCGCAGCATCC